TTTTTTTTTTATTTTTCTCTTGAGAGCGTCTTTCTTTCCTTTTTTACCAGTAGGTAATGTCCAAATATAGGACAGATTAGCAGGGACCAGAAGTGTTAGCCCATCAATGATGACTTAACGGTCTGGGTCTTCTCAGTAAGGTACTAGTAGACAAATGGTATTATGTAAGATACCACTTTGAAAAGTTCAAAATTTATGTTCTTTTTTTGGTAAGAGACATAAAAAAAAAAATTAAGATTAAGTTAGTATCAGACTGTTGGCCTTAGAGTATGGTTTTGGTTAAAGTTTAATGATTTTGGAGTAGTGTATGTGAAGACCATTGGAAGGCAAACGTCTTTGTGCATTTTCTAGATTGAATTAATCAGCTGTTTTCAAGCACCTTTCAAATGAGGAAGTTCCACTGATAGGCTAGCAAGAACTTTAAAGATAGTTTTGCATCACTACAGGTGCCTCTGAATGCACATGTTGAGTGCAGGGATTTAATTTGAGGTGTTCTACTTGAGATTTAAGCTGAAATAAGCGCGTAGCTTTGTCTAATCTGGTGTAATTGAGGAGTACGGACAAACCTTGACTACACAGTCGCTGTGGCTTCAGTGGTTTCTGTTTCCTTTCTTTGATCTGGTGTTTGCGTTTGCGTCGCTACTGCTTTCCTTGTACCCACGGTAACAACACAGAGGGCGTGAAAGGATGGTGCCTTGGCCTTTTCCGGCATTCGCGGGCAAGTCAAGCCGTAGTCTTGGAGACCTCAGCACTTCCAAAAGTGGCTCCTGTACCTCAGTTCCTGCAGAGGGGTTTCTGTAGGTGTGCAGTTTTGTGCAGTGTGGCGATGGACCTCGGCCATGCCCTGACGTTAGGTTACGCTGTTTACCGTGCCCCTGCCTTTTGGCTTCTGAGCGGTTCGAGATCAGGATAGATATGTGAATGCAGCCACAGGAGCAACAAGCACACGTTGCGTTATCCTTGTCCCCTGCCAAAAGAATCAGTCGTGAAGTTCTGAATGGCTTCAGGATTTAGGAGAAAACTCCAATACGTACGTCCCTCTTTAAGAACTGCTTCTCTACAGTTTGGTTCTGGAACCAGTCCTACGCTGGTCTGTGCTGCAGTAAGAGTTGTGGGAGGCTGTGCTGGACGCTTGACAAAAATGGGGTTGCAGGTGGCTTCTGCAGAGAGGAGGAGTTTGCTAGCAGACCAGCTGGCCACAGCACGGAGATGCATAGCTCCAGATGTATGTCTTTATTTCAAAGAATGCATGTTTTGGGGGTCTTAGAGCGACCATTCTGTATTTGGGGCTTAAATGGCTTTTGTAAAATCAGAATAGTAACTTGTGACATCTGCTGTTTCCATTCAAAGGAAAGATAGCAAAAGGACTTGTATGTCTGTTACAAAAATGAAAGCCAGGTGTACTCTGCACAATAAAATAATTATCTTTAATTTTGACAAACAGAAACAGTAAACAAGACGATATTTCAGTGAAAATGAAGGACAGTGTAAAACAGCACAACGCAACAATGCCGGAAAAATTATGTTTATATTTGTGTGCATACAATAAGCAAGGCCCTGAGTATCACAATAGCTGGAATAAACTTTTTAGGCACTAATGCTTGTTTGAAAAATACACAGTATGCAGGACACTTATCTGTTAAGGCTGCATCATTTAATCTTCCAAAAATATGGGTGAATTCTGTTTTATTATCTCCTTTGAATAGTGGAAATCTAATAACTTCAAATTAAAAATGAAAATCCATTCATTAATGGCTTACAAAGTAGAGCCACAAATGAATAATAAAATACCTATTCCGATAACAGGAGTTAGGCAATCACGCTTGACATGATGTTTTCAAACTTTATAAAATGATAGGTTTAAGTAATAGTGACATTTCCCTGGCATTCACTGGTGGAACTATTAAGTAAATTTTATTGTGTGTCAGTGAAAAAAACGCCATTCTTCGTGCCCGTGCTTGTGAGAGCCATTTACAGAAGTTGGTATGATGTTCCATAGCCATAAAGTGTATCTTCAAACTCGAGATTAATTGGTTTCTTCTCAGCAGCAGAAGCTGTCTAACGTAAGTCAAAATAAATACTATCTCGGAATTCACAGTTTTACATAAAACAACACTGAACACTTTGCTGCAGTTAGGATATCAGCACATTCAGATAAACACCTTATTTTTACATTTCAGTAACAAGAATGTTTCTATAACATACCCACGAGTAGCTGAGCCACAGAAGTACTGAGGTGAAGATTGCCTATGGAAAGAGACATAGCAAATGCTTTTTGCAATAGGCGTTTGAAACGTAACGTAGGTACCGGCTGGTACTTCATGGTGAGGGGGTTTAGCTACTTCCAATAGCTATTGGACGTTTGCTGTGCCAAAGCATTACAATAAATTCTATTCCTGGCAAAAGCAATCAAATTGCAGAAACTTCTTTAATTTGCCATAAAATCTTGTCAAAGGTGACAATTGTTTTTGTTCACTCTTATAAAAATCTTGGCGGGGATGAGGGCAAAACAAAACCTGTTACTTAATGCCTCTCTGGGCCCTCTACTCCATTCAGGTTTTAAAACCTTTTTATTCTTTTCCATTAATTTGTTAGCTTTCACTTTAATACTGGCTGGCATTTCCAACAGTCTGAGGAGGTGTTAAAAATAAATAAAAAGCAAAAGAAATACAAATCAAACAGGAAACAATTCAACATATAGAAAAGGAAGTCTGATTTTTTTTTTTTCTTTTTTCTCCTCCCCTGCCCCCCCCAGCTATGATCCTGTATCTTGAACAAATTGAGAGGAATAAACGACATGACAGGCATCTTCATCGTCTTGTTCTGTTAAATAACACTTTGATGTGCATTTAAATTGGCACATCAGACAAAGTGGTTCCTAGTTGTGGCCACAGCTGGCACAAGCATTTGTGCTGTCACCTGGCGAACCAGATTTGAGAGCTTTCTGGTTGGAATAAGAAAGACCCCAAAGCCCCCCAGTATTTTTTGAGATTCTCCCTCCGCCCCCATCAGTTTAACATCCAATTAATTTGTGGCAATGCAAATGTCTGTGCTGGGCTAGTGCAGGATATCTGAACAGCTAGGGATATCAGACATCAGAAAGCGAGGATTGCTTTTTGGCTTTTTTTTTCTCCCCACGAACACTCCCAGTTTGTGTTAAACTAAAGCTTTTCTCTCTCCCCTCCTCCGTGCTGTCTCCCGCAGTATCTCTGCGGGCAGCAACCACCAGAGAGCACCTCGGTCACGCTTACGCACGGTCAGCCAGCGCCAGCCGCCACTCATCCTGCTGCTCAGCAGGAGGCTTTAGGTTAAGCGCAAAGTCAGTTTTGTGCCGCAGAGCGCCTTGCGGAACCAGGAGGCTTAAACTTCTTGAGACCTGTACGTTTATTCAGTCAGAAGTACTACATAAATCCATTTTGCTTGCCAATTAGTGCTACTGTAGGCTAGCAGACGCTGACTGTGGTTGATGTTTTGTATGTTGTAACTGAAGAACACAAAAGCTCTATTGAAAGCCTAAATCCTATAATTGATAAATAACGCTGGTGATGTACTTCATGAAATGTTATAGAAGGCAACATTTACTTCTATTAAGATTAAACTCTACCATTGTATCTGTAAGGGGAGACATTAAGAAGGGATTTTTGAGGGCAAAACTGCTTGCTACCCCAATTCTAAAGTGCAGTAGGGGCTCTTTCAGTGTAGCACGTAGCAAAGCACGAGTGCTGCTTTTGGACTTTCTGATGCGTGTAGAACTACCTGAGCTTGTCTTTCAGCCCCAGCATGCTAGACTAGCAGTTGCCTACTTGAAGAATTATCATATGGATGAAGGGTAAAAGAAACAAGCTGTGACACAGAAAATTAGATATTAGGAAGAAAAATTCTCACAGTGAGGGCGGTCAAATACTGAAGCAGGGCCCAGAGGGGTTATGGGCTCCTCATCCCTGGGGATGCTCAAAATCCAACTGTGTGAGGCCCGGAGCAGCCCGCTCTGCCAGCAGCACTGGCCCTGCTTTTCGGCAGAGGGCTGGACCAGGTGACTGCCAGAGGTCACTTCTAGCTTCATTTTTTTTCTGTGATTCAATATTTATGTCACTTCTAAAATTAGTAGTGTGGTACTACCAGAAGAGTATAAAAAGTACTGAACAAATTCCTTCAGCTGCAGCGTTTTAACATTCAGCAAAGTTGTAAGATGAAAGTGTTCAGAAAACTGGAGAGTTAAGAATAACCACTTTCTATTTGGGAATGCCACGGATAGTCATGGGATTGCTATGAGTGGGTGATTAAAGGTAATCTGTAACTTCTGCGATCGAGACTTTAATGAGCATTAGGACTGTTCTGCCTTCTTGGTCTTTTCTGAAGGTTAAAGGTGCTTTGGTTGAATGCTTTTTGAGGTAAGCATTAAGAATCTGTCCCACAGGTGATGACATTAAAAGCCGTCAGCATTGGCCTAGTCTTACTCCTTGGTTTAATCCCAGTGGTCTGAATCTGGTAGTTCTCTTCAGAAATTAAGACCTGAACGTTATTTTTCTGAAGCGTAGCCCACATGCGTGAGGTGGTTTGAATGTGTGTCCCACTGAAAGCCCCAAGGGGGTCTTTGTGTGGCTGGTGCAGCGCGAGGTGCCCCAGGCAGGGGCTCCAGGATCTCCCCTAGGGCCGTCCCAGGCCACAAGCAGCCTAGAGATGCTAGGAAGTGGACAAGGAGAGACGTCTCAGTCTCCCTTGTCTTGTAAAAAAAAAAGATAAGGTGAGCTAACTTTCAGAGTGCTAAAAATCTCCATAAATATTGTGTAAAAACTGTAAAAGTTGACACAGGAAACTGTGTATGTGTCAGGTGTTACCTCTGATTATTAAGTTGGGGTGATTGCCTTGCTAAACTGGCTAAAAGCCGCATTTCTAAAACCTGTGAGGGTTTGACATCTAGTCTCCTGTGATTCACCTGTAAGATTCTGCCAGTAAATCAGACCTGATTCTTGTGACTGACAAGCATCAGAAATGGGAGGCTACGGTCTTTGAAGGAACCATATCTCGTTGTGTCGATTGGCAGCAGCGGGATTTGTATATCCTGCAATGATGAATGTATCCTGCAAACATAACTCGGGACTCTCCAGAATTTCCGCCAAGAGGTTTATTTCTCTCATTATGGAGTCTTCATTGGTGATTCCTCTGAAGCTCCTGTAACAATCAACTTCGTATCAAGTTCTTTTCAAAATCCACAGTTTTTCCAGAGCCTAGAAATGCCTCCTTCCAAATTATTTAGTCAAGTTTCACAAATGATACTACCTGGCTGTGATTCATCTCAAACACATAACAGTTTCTTCTTGACATTTTCAGTGATATGTCAGACGCTTTGTTCCCAGCTACACAGGATAGTCTGTGTTTTGAAATGCTATTGTATCTCACATTTACAGATGCATCGTTTTCCCAAGTCAGCTGGTAACCATTATTTCCTGAATATCCCAGTCCCATAAAGCAGGCAGCTTTTAACAATCACTAAAAATCAAGTTTTACTGTTTGTTAGCTTTTACAACTCGATTTCAAAGATGTAACACACCCAAATGGAAAACTGCATCTTCTTACGGTTTTTACTAGAACAAAATTAAAATGTTTCTTACCTACTATACACGATAGTAGAAGGCCATTCTTCAATGATTATGTCTGAGTCGAAAGGATGAGGTGGCTCGTCCTGCAGCACTTCAGGCAGGTAGTACGCTACTGTCACTGACTGCGTCATCTCCGATTGAGATTCGTTTGTATGGACTATGGTCACAATGGGTATTGTTATCCCCAAGTACAGTCCTGAGGAGACATGCATGACTTTTTAGAAGAAACAACAGAAGGTCTACATACTGGGCTTGACTTCTGAACTCATACTGAATAATATAAAGCGAGTACCACAGAGCAGAGTTCCGTTACTAAAAGGAATTCAGTAGGATGCTTTAGAAAATGGTGTTGCGTATTCCAAGTTGGAAGTAGCATTTTATTATGCCTTGTAGTTTGTGTGTGTGTGTGTGTGTGTATATGTATCTCTCTAAAACCTACATGTGCGAATATGTGCGCATGTGTGTCTAAAACGTAGTATTTGGTGAGCTCTCCTATCTTCATGTAGGGCAAGGAGTTTGACTTAACTTTTTTCCCCCTCTTAAGAGGGTTGTGTTTCCCTTGTAAACTGACCCTGTGTCATGTTTTAAATATTTGGGAACAAAGAATGTAGGCAAGGTAAGGGGGCTGCGCTGTGAATTCATTTAGGATTTGCTTTTATCAAAAATGTTGCTAAATTTTTGCAGTGCTATAGGGAAAGGTTGACTCTTGACTTTGCGGGTAGCAGTGATGGCTAGGAGTAGGATCTTTGCTTCCGTACAAGTTTGCAAACAACACTACGCTGTTCTGGAGCCAAAATGACTTTTAAACCATGTGAAAGTGTTAGAAGAATGGGGAGAGTGGGGAAAATACCTGATTAAGGAAAAGCTTTCGTGATCAATGTTTTTAGTTTCTTGGAAAGAAAATTAAGGATTGACTTGATTGCGACACATGTACTACTACAGAACAAAACACTGGGCATCACAAAACTTTAATCAACTGAAGAATGAAAAAAAAAAAAGGAGAACTGATGGCTGGAAGTTGAAACCAGATTAAACTGGATTGGAAACTAGGTGCACATTTTTCATGCAGGCACAAGCTAGCAAGGACATGGTGGACTTGTCATTATTTTAAAGTACTTGAGTTAAAACTGTATTATTTTTCTGGAAAATATGCTTGAACCACACAAATTTTTGGTGTCCATTCAGACATGCCCAATTTAAGAATCATAAACTAAAACGAAGGAGGCAAAACATTATGGTCTCTTTTGGCATTACACGCTGAATAGGTTCTTAGAATAGGCAATTTCAGTGCTGCTGTGAAAACTAAACCTCTAAAATCCTGTAGCAAAAGCCTAATTTATCGCTGATGGCCTACAAAAATAGCCAGTGTTGATTCCCAGGCAGCTGTAATGGTCACGGTGCCCCTGGAAACAGTGGTGGCTTCCCGCAGATGTTCTCTTCTAGCACGTATGCAGCGGGAGCAGCGCCTTGGTTTAGACTCTGCTGGAAAGGAAAATGTCCCTATAGACAGTGGGGTATCTGGAAAAAGCTAATAAAAGTCTCTCCCCGATTAGGAGCAGCTAGTGCATAAATATAATGTTTTAACTTTAATGTGGAATTGTTTTACCAATTACCTGAGGAATTCTGCTCACAAATGTACCTCATAAGCTTCATGAATCCAAGGCATATGCTCTGTTCATACTGTTTTTCTTTCATTTTTATACAAGCCCATTTGGCTTTTCCATACTGACGTTTTTCATAAAGCAGATCTCCAAGCTGCAAACAAAGTAAGATAATAATTTTGTAGTTTAAGTTAATAATGTAAAAAAAAAAAAAAAAAAACCAACAAACCCACAACCCCGGGCGAACAAATAAAAGTCAAACAGTATTTCAGTGCTTTACTTATAGCATCAAGAAATCAGCTCCTCTGGGTGTACAACCAGGAGAGCGACAAGCGTGAGGAATGATTTTAAGTCTCAGTGTCAGCTATACTTTAAGCGCGTTCTGTTTAATACTTAGTTCACACGCGCTTCATTTCAAGGTCCAGGCTGGTGTATAAGAAGTAGATATCCAAAACCGATGCAGTGTATGCGTCTTACTTGAGTACAAGAATAATTGCATCTTTTTTTCAACTGTTAGTGGAATGATCTTGAAAGGAACCTGTGAATTTCAGTCCTTGCTCATATAAATCAAGAAGGGATATGCTGCTGATCTTGGACCAAAATTTATTTCAGCAGACTTCTAGGTAGTTCTCCTTTAAAATAAGGAAGTGTCATCTTTTGGACTTTCAGTATTAAACACTTAGTCGCAATTATCACCTTATTTTTTTATCTGCAATTACTACAGTAGCACTGAGAAATTGCTTTCAAGCATTTAATTACAACATAAATAGTCAGGAGTCCCAAACTGTTTAGATGAAATACAGTCAATCAAATTGTGACATTTATAGATTTGAATTATATAGATCTAATTAAAAGAAATGTGACACAAATTCTTCATACATGGTTAGGAAAGGTTTTCTTGATTTGTCATGTATTTAAGTTTAGACACTTGTTTGCACATTTCCTGAGCTGTAAACAATTTGCCAGACATCAATTTCTACTTTTCATTAGAGGGTAAGATGATTTTGATAAGATGGATTTGCAGATTGCTGCTTTGTTTGATAATGACCTATGATACAAAAGTACATGTTTGGTTTTAAATTCAGATATTAATCTCTTTCAAGTATTTTTTGCTAAGGTTTTACTAACATGATTGTGTAAAGAAGCAAATGCATTGATTTAAATGAAGAAAATAGGCATTTTTATTGCAAATGTCAAAATTTTTGTTAAATTAATTATAAAATGTCACAAAGACTGTAATTCCTGGCCATCTTCTGACATTTCTGCTAGCTTCTACCTTACAAAAAAGAAAAATTCACACATGTAAAAGCGGTGAGATGTTAAAAATGAAATGCAGTTGTCTAGTTATAATGCTTTGCGCTTGTGATGTTAAAAGCCCTAAATGGTTACAGTGATTTTATAAAGAAACATATTTTCGGAAGCTAGGTATGAATACTGCAAACACCGTTAACGGGGAAGGGAAACGGTACGTTTTCTTTGCGCTGGATCAGAGTAAACGGGACGGTCTGTCTCTCCTGGGGATTGTTACCTCTGGTCAGCTGCTGAATTGGCTCTGCCATGTCTGCAAGACAACAACACAGGTCCAACGTTAGCCGCGAAGCTGGAGAAATAAGCCTGGGGACCTTGCTTTGCTAACAGGTTCACTGTGCTCTTCGGTATGAATAGGAAAGCTGAACTGACTTCTGTCTCTACTGCTAGGAACAGGTTTCGCTCTCCCACTCCTCGTATACTGCAATTACACAAGCATCTATGGAAAGCTTTCGGCGGTGCCTGGTTTTCTGGCTCGAGCAACTCCTTCGGTGTTGGATCCACATGTGCATGCGCGTCAAGTAAATGGAGTTGGCTGCTCTTGTGCACATGTGCAAGGAAATACTACTGTGGAAACTTTGTCATTTCCAAAAGGTGTTTTATGTCTAATATTTTACTTCAGCATTTGATATTAGGCGCATTTCAGTGCGACTCGTTAGTCAGGGCACACGTCGGGCGCGAGGCCCGCGTTGTCCCTCGGAAGCCGTGGTGCC